AGAGTGTGTTGTGTAGTGGAGAGGAGAACTGTGTGGTGTAGTGGAGGGGAGAACTGTGTGGTGTAGTGGAGGGGAGGAGTGTGTGGTGTAGTGGAGGGGAGAACTGTGTGGTGTAGTGGAGGGGAAGAGTGTGTGGTGTAGTGGAGGGGAGAACTGTGTGGTGTAGTGGAGGGGAGGAGTGTTGTAGTGTAGTGGAGGGGAGAACTGTGTGGTGTAGTGGAGGGGAGGAGTGTGTGGTGTAGTGGAGGGGAGAACTGTGTGGTGTAGTGGAGGGGGAGAACTGTGTGGTGGAGGGGAGGAGGTGTGTTGTGTAGTGGAGGAGAGGACTGTGTGATGTAGTGGAGGGGGAGAACTGTGTAGTGGAGGGGAGGAGTGTGTTGTGTAGTGGAGGAGAGGACTGTGTGATGTAGTGGAGGGGAGAACTGTGTGGTGTAATGGAGGGGAGAACTGTGTGGTGTAGTGGAGGGGAGAACTGTGTGATGTAGTGGAGGGGAGAACTGTTTTGTGTAGTGGAGGGGAGAACTGTGTGATGTAGTGGAGGGGAGAACTGTGTGATGTAGTGGAGGGGAAGAACTGTTTTGTGTAGTGGGAGGGGAGAACTGTGTGATGTAGTGGAGGGGAGAAACTGTGTGGTGTAGTGGAGGGGAGGACTGTTTTGTGTAGTGGAGGGGAGAAACTGTGTAGTGGAGGGGAGGAGTGTGTTGTGTAGTGGAGGAGAGGACTGTGTGATGTAGTGGAGGGGAGAACTGTGTGGTGTAGTGGAGGGGAGAACTGTGTGATGTAGTGGAGGGGGAGAACTGTTTTGTGTAGTGGAGGGGAGAACTGTGTGATGTAGTGGAGGGGAGAACTGTGTGGTGTAGTGGAGGGAGGACTGTTTTGTGTAGTGGAGGGGAGAACTGTGTGATGTAGTGGAGGGGAGGACTGTTTTGTGTAGTGGAGGGGAGAACTGTGTGATGTAGTGGAGGGGAGAACTGTTTTGTGTAGTGGAGGGGAGAACTGTGTGATGTAGTGGAGGGGGAGAAACTGTGTGGTGTAGTGGAGGGGAGGACTGTTTTGTGTAGTGGAGGGGAGAACTGTGTGATGTAGTGGAGGGGAGGACTGTTTTGTGTAGTGGAGGGGAGAACTGTGTGATGTAGTGGAGGGGAGAACTGTGTGGTGTAGTGGAGGGGAGGACTGTTTTGTGTAGTGGAGGGGAGAACTGTGTGATGTAGTGGAGGGGAGGACTGTGTGATGTAGTGGAGGGGAGAAACTGTGTGGTGTAGTGGAGGGGAGGACTGTTTTGTGTAGTGGAGGGGAGAACTGTGTGATGTAGTGGAGTGAAGAACTGTGTGGTGTAGTGGAGGGGAGAACTGTGTGTTGTAGTGGAGTGAAGAACTGTGTGGTGTAGTGCAGGGTAGAACTGCGTGGTGTAGTGGAGTGAAGAACTGTGTGTTGTAGTGGAGGGGAGAACTGTGTGTTGTAGTGGAGGGGAGAACTGTGTGTTGTAGTGGAGTGAAGAACTATGTGGTGTAGTGGAGGGGAGAACTGTGTGTTGTAGTGGAGTGAAGAACTGTGTGGTGTAGTGGAGGGGAGAACTGTGTGGTGTAGTGGAGGGGAGAACTGTGTGGTGTAGTGGAGGGGAGAAACTGTGTGGTGTAGTGGAGTGAAGAACTGTGTGGTGTAGTGGAGGGGAGAACTGTGTGGTGTGTGGAGGGGAGAACTGTGTGGTGTAGTGGAGGGGAGAAACTGTGTGGTGTAGTGGAGGGGGAGAACTGTGTGTGTGTAGTGGAGGGGAGAACTGTGTGGTGTAGTGGAGTGAAGAACTGTGTGGTGTAGTGGAGGGGAGAACTGTGTGGTGTAGTGGAGGGGAGAAAACTGTGTGGTGTAGTGGAGGGGAGAACTGTGTGGTGTAGTGGAGTGAAGAACTGTGTGGTGTAGAGGAGGGGAGAACTGTGTGGTGTAGTGGAGGGGAGAACTGTGTGGTGTAGTGGAGGGGAGAACTGTGTGGTGTAGTGGAGGGGAGAACTGTGTGGTGTAGTGGAGGGGAGAACTGTGTGGTGTAGTGGAGTGAAGAACTGTGTGGTGTAGTGGAGGGGAGAAACTGTGTGGTGTAGTGGAGGGGAGAACTGTGTGGTGTAGTGGAGGGGAGAAACTGTGTGGTGTAGTGGAGGGGGAGAACTGTGTGGTGTAGTGGAGGGGAGAACTGTGTGGTGTAGTGGAGGGGAGAACTGTGTGGTGTAGTGGAGGGGAGAAACTGTGTGGTGTAGTGGAGGGGAGAACTGTGTGGTGTAGTGGAGGGGAGAACTGTGTGGTTGTAGTGGAGGGGAGAACTGTGTGGTGTAGTGGAGGGGAGAACTGTGTGGTGTAGTGGAGGGGAGAACTGTGTGGTGTAGTGGAGGGGAGAACTGTGTGGTGTAGTGGAGGGGAGAACTGTGTGTTGTAGTGGAGTGAAGAACTGTGTGGTGTAGTGGAGTGAAGAACTGTGTGGTGTAGTGGAGTGAAGAACTGTGTGTTGTAGTGGAGTGAAGAACTGTGTGGTGTAGTGGGGGGGAGGAACTGTGTGGTGTAGTGGAGGGGAGAACTGTGTGGTGTAGTGGAGGGGAGAACTGTGTGGTGTAGTGGAGGGGAGGAACTGTGTGGTGTAGTGGAGGGGAGAACTGTGTGGTGTAGTGGAGGGGAGAACTGTTGTGGTGTAGTGGAGGGGAGAACTGTGTGGTGTAGTGGAGGGGAGAAACTGTGTGGTGTAGTGGAGGGGAGAACTGTGTGGTGTAGTGGAGGGGAGGACTGTGTGGTGTAGTGGAGGGGAGAACTGTGTGTTGTAGTGGAGTGAAGAACTGTGTGTTGTAGTGGAGTGAAGAACTGTGTGGTGTAGTGGAGTGAAGAACTGTGTGTTGTAGTGGAGTGAAGAACTGTGTGTTGTAGTGGAGTGAAGAACTGTGTGGTGTAGTGGAGTGATGAAGTCACTGTGTGGCGAAACTATCAAGAATAAAGATTCCCATACGTTGCATAAGTGTCTCAGTCTTCAACTTGTCGGTTTTCAAAACCATTTAACACATGAGGTGATCTGTTCCTCAACTTTGAAGATATGATTTAAGATACTCAGGTCTTCAAACTTCACTCGCCTAATTCGATTCATATTGATTAATGCAATTGAGCCGAACACTTAACAAGGTATAACTTACATCCTGAAGGACGCCTGGCAGGTCATTGAAGAGACAAAACACGATACAGTCGCTTGGAAGTTGCTTTAATATGAACAGTGACTATTAACCAACAGAATCAACTAACTTTCAGTTTAGCAAAAACTTTTTTCCATCTTATTTTACATAAACAGGTAATCAACATATCACGAGCGTACAGAAGTATTGTTAACTTCCAGCGCATCTAACACTCAACTCTCGCAGTCATTTCACTGCTCGGCTTATAAGATAAGAGATAAGATAAGATTTCGTTCGGATTTTTAACCCCGGAGGGTTAGCCACCCAGGATAACCCAAGAAAGTCAGTGCGTCATCGAGGACTGTCTAACTTATTTCCATTGGGGTCCTTAATCTTGTCCCCCAGGATGCGACCCACACCAGTCGACTAACACCCAGGTACCTATTTGCTGCTAGGTGAACAGGACAACAGGTGTAAGGAAACGTGTCGAAATGTTTCCACCCGCCGGGAATCGAACCCGGGCCCTCCGTGTGTGAAGCGGGAGCTTTAGCCACCAGGCCACCGGGCCACGAGCGTACAGAAGTATTGTTAACTTCCAGCACATCTAACACTCAACTCTCGCAGTCATTTCACTGCTCGGCTTATCACCAGCGTACAGAAGTATTGTTAACTTCCGGCACATCTAACACTCAACTCTCGCAGTCATTTCACTGCTCGGCTTATCACCAGCGTACAGAAGTATTGTTAACTTCCGGCACATCTAACACTCAACTCTCGCAGTCATTTCACTGCTCGGCTTATCACCAGCGTACAGAAGTATTGTTAACTTCCGGCACATCTAACACTCAACTCTCGCCGTCATTTCACTGCTCGGATGGTGTCAACTGCACTTATATAGAGATATATAAATGTTTTCTACGTCTGCGTGTAATTTGTAGTTGTCTGTTCTGAAGGTGAAACGCTTCGTAAAAAGTTCTCTCTGCAAACTGTGTCTTGTCGTTTTCACTTGTTAGTTCTACGCATTTCGTTTCTAGGTTTATTTGTTTACGTCGTGGATGATCGAGTTGTATTTGGAGTTTAATTGTGAGATGAAAATATTTGCTGTTTTCATTGTATCGTCTACTAATGTGTTGTTTTATCCTCATCAGACATGATGGAGACGAAGTCATGGTAAGATTAGTAAATCTTTCGATGAAAATCGTAAGATTATTGACAGTAGTTGGCGGAAAGAAAAAAAATATTTTACGACACCGGTTTTCACAAACTGTTAATCCTGAGAGGTTATGGTAGCTGTCCTTCTATGACCATTTCCGCGTAAATGAGTATGGTCAGAGGCACCCACACCAGCGTATGTCCTCCGATCACAGTAATGCACCTAGCTCTGCTGGGTGCGTGATTCTTGTAGGTTTCCGTGGTCCTGTGGGTTAGATCGTCATGTGTGATTTTCCCTAACCATGGGGCGGGCCAAAACGACATGGGTTCGAATCCTCGGTTAGTTGCAGTGTTGTTGATATATATATATATATATATATATATTATATATATATATATATATATATATATATATATATATATATATACGTCGACACAATGAAATTTTCTGAAAATAAGTAATTAACAAATTGCAGATAACATCAATACATAATATTTTATTTAAAAATAAAATGGAATAGGCATGGAAACCTTATCTAGAACGTGGATAAAAAAATGATTAATGGTTACAATTTTGACCATAATTTTAAGTGGTGGAGCGGTAAGGTAGCAGAAGGCCTCGGTCAAACGACCAAAAGCTTCAACGGCTGGTTATCATATGAGTAAGACCCGCGTCACAAAACATTTGCCCTGTTTCCTGACGAACCTTACCTGACCAGGAACGTCGAAGAGCAGAGACGACAGTGAAGAGAGCACCTGCTGCCGCACCTGTAACACTGCTCACTACCACAACTAGAATGTAACCCTGGATACCATACATGAAAGCGAATGTGTGTGTGTGTGTGTGTGTGTTTACTCACCTAGTTGTACTCACCTAGTTGAGGTTGCGGGGGTCGAGTCCGAGCTCCTGGCCCCGCCTCTTCACTGATCGCTACTAGGTCACTCTCCCTGAGCCGTGAGCTTTATCATACCTCTGCTTAAAGCTATGTATGGATCCTGCCTCCACTACATCGCTTCCCAAACTATTCCACTTACTGACTACTCTGTGGCTGAAGAAATACTTCCTAACATCCCTGTGATTCATCTGTGTCTTCAGCTTCCAACTGTGTCCCCTTGTTACTGTGTCCAATCTCTGGAACATCCTGTCTTTGTCCACCTTGTCAGTTCCACTCAGTATTTTGTATGTCGTTATCATGTCCCCCCTATCTCTCCTGTCCTCCAGTGTCGTCAGGTTGATTTCCCTTAACCTCTCCTCGTAGACATACCTCTTAGCTCTGGGACTAGTCTTGTTGCAAACCTTTGCACTTTCTCTAGTTTCTTCACGTGCTTGGCTAGGTGTGGGTTCCAAACTGGTGCCGCATACTCCAATATGGGCCTAACGTACACGGTGTACAGGGTCCTGAATGATTCCTTATTAAGATGTCGGAATGCTGTTCTGAGGTTTGCTAGGCGCCCATATGCTGCAGCAGTTATTTGGTTGATGTGCGCTTCAGGAGATGTGCCTGGTGTTATACTCACCCAAGATCTTTTTCCTTGAGTGAGGTTGTAGTCTCTGACCCTAGACTGTACTCGTCTGCGGCCTTCTTTGCCCATCCCCAATCTTCATGACTTTGCACTTGGTGGGATTGAACTCCAGGAGCCAATTGCTGGACCAGGTCTGCAGCCTGTCCAGATCCCTTTGTAGTTCTGCCTGGTCTTCGATCGAGTGAATTCTTCTCATCAACTTCACGTCATCTGCAAACAGGGACACCTCAGAGTCTATTCCTTCCGTCATGTCGTTCACAAATACCAGAAACAGCACTGGTCCTAGAACTGACCCCTGCGGGACCCGTGGTCACAGGTGCCCACTCTGACACTCGCCACGTACCATGACTCGCTGCTGTCTTCCTGACAAGTATTCCCTGATCCATTGTAGTGCCTTCCCTGTTATCCCTGCTTGGTCCTCCAGTTTTTGCACCAATCTCTTGTGTGGAACTGTGTCAAACGCCTTCTTGCAGTCCAAGAAAATGCAATCCACCCACCCCTCTCTCTCTTGTCTTACTGCTGTCACCATGTCATAGAACTCCAGTAGGTTTGTGACACAGGATTTCCCGTCCCTGAAAACCATGTTGGCTGCTGTTGATGAGATCGTTCCTTTCTAGGTGTTCCACCACTCTTCTCCTGATAATCTTCTCCATGATTTTGCATACTATACATGTCAGTGACACTGGTCTGTAGTTTAATGCTTCATGTCTGTCTCCTTTTTTAAAGATTGGGACTACATTTGCTGTCTTCCATGCCTCAGGCAATCTCCCTGTTTCGATAGATGTATTGAATATTGTTGTTAGGGGTACACATAGTGCCTCTGCTCCCTCTCTCAATACCCATGGGGAGATGTTATCTGGCCCCATTGCCTTTGAGGTATCTAGCTCACTCAGAAGCCTCTTCACTTCTTCCTCGGTTGTGTGCACTGTGTCCAGCACTTGGTGGTGTGCCCCACCTCTCCGTCTTTCTGGAGCCCCTTCTGTCTCCTCTGTGAACACTTCTTTGAATCTCTTGTTGAGTTCTTCACATACTTCACGGTCATTTCTTGTTGTCTCTCCTCCTTCCTTCCTTAGCCTGATTACCTGGTCCTTGACTGTTGTTTTCCTCCTGATGTGGCTGTACAACAGTTTCGGGTCAGATTTGGCTTTCGCTGCTATGTCATTTTCATATTGTCTTTGGGCCTCCCTTCTTATCTGTGCATATTCGTTTCTGGCTCTACGACTGTTCTCCTATTCTCCTGGGTCCTTTGCCTTCTATATTTCTTCCATTCCCTAGCACACTTGGTTTTTGCCTCCCTGCACCTTTGGGTAAACCATGGGCTCATCCTGGTTTTTTCATTATTCCTGTTACCTTGGGTACAAACCTCTCCTCAGCCTCCTTGCATTTTGTTGCTACATATTCCATCATCTCATTAACTGGCTTCCCTGCCAGTTCTCTGTCCACTGAACCCCGTTCAGGTAGTTCCTCATTCCTGTGTAGTCCCCTTTCTTGTAGTTTGGCTTCATTTGTCCTGGCCTTCCTGCTTCTCCCTCCACTTGTAGCTCTACTGTGTATTCGAAGCTTAAAACCACATGGTCACTGGCCCCAAGGGGTCTTTCATATGTGATGTCCTCGATATCTGCACTACTCAAGGTGAATACTAAGTCCAGCCTTGCTGGTTCATCCTCTCCTCTCTCTCTTGTAGTGTCCCTTACGTGTTGGCACATGAAGTGCATGAAGTGTGTGTGTGTGTGTGTGTGTGTGTGTGTGTGTGTGTGTGTGTGTGTGTGTGTGTGTGTGTGCGTGTGTGTGTGTGTGTGTGTGTGTGTGTGTGTGTGTGTCTGTGTCTGTCTGTCTGTCTGTCTGTCTGTCTGTGCGTGTGTGTGTGAATGTGTGTGCGTGTGTGTCTGTGTGTGTCGGTCTGCGTGCGTGCTTATGTATGCATTTGTGTGTGTGTATGTGTTTGTGAGTGTGTGTGTGTGTGTGTGTGTATGTGTGTGTGTGTGTGTGTGTGTGTGTGTGTGTGTGTGTGTATGTGTGTGTACTCACCTAATTGTGGTTGCAGGGTTCGAGACTCAGCTCCTGGCCCCGCCTCTTCACTGATCGCTACTAGGTCCTCTCTCTGCTCCCTGAGCTTTGTCATACCTCTTGATACCTCCAACCACTTTTTTTCTCATTCTGTTTTCTTTCATCATAGGTTTCCCTTTCGACTTCCTGGAGCCCATAGTAAAAAACTGATCTCGTCCTCCCACTGTGTCTCCCATTGCGTCCTCGGAGGTGTTTTAGCTCCTTCCATTGGAGTGTCCCTTTCTTCAGTCCCTTCCCTGGCTGAGGCCCCTATGCTCAGTGGTCTGTCTTTCCTGCTCAGTTGTTCCTGGCCCCTACAGGTGTCTGTTAGAGTCTTTGCATGTATCATAGCTCTTCCATTGTCTTCAGGCCTCTCATTTGTTCCTAGTGTGCTCCTCGTCTTTGTCTTGGCCCTATGTGGGTTTTGATAGGGTCCTTGTATTTAGTATAGCTTCTTTGCTCCCTCCAGGCCCCTTGTCTATGCCTGATGTAGAAGTTCTTGATGTTATGTCTTTACTGTCATTTTTTCTTTTAAGCTCGTTCAGGTTTCTCAGGTCCTCTTCTAAGCATTGTATCCTAGCTTCTGCTACCATGACTCGTTGCTGCCTCCCTGTCAGGTATTCTCTGATCCATTGCAGTGCCCCTCCTGTTACACGCACCTGATCCTCCAGCTGTGTCGAAGGCCTTCCTGCAGTCCAGGAAAATGCAATCAACCCACCCTCTCTCTCGTGTCTTCTGTTACTTTCTCATAAAACTCCAGAAGGTTTGTGACACAGGATATGCCTTCCATGAATCCATGCAGGTTGTCGTTTATAATCTTGTTCCCTTCCAGGTGCTCCACTACTCTCCTCCTGATAATCTCTCCGTGACTTTACATACTATACACGTCAATGGCACTGGTCTGTACTTTAGGGCCTCATTTCTGTCTCCTTTCTTAAAAATGGGGGCTACATTTGCCGTCTTGGATACCTCAGGTAGTTGCCCAGTTTCAAGGGATGTGTTGAAGATTGTGGTTAGTGGCACTCACAGCATCTCGGCTCCTTCTCTAAGGACCCACGGGGAGATGTTGTCCGGTCCCATCGCCATTGAGGTATTAATGTCACTTAGCAGTGCCTGCACCTCCTGCTCAGTTGTGTGTATGTCATCCAACACTTGTTGGTATATTCCCCATTGGTGTTGCCCTCTGTGCTGTCTTCCCAGAGCCCATCCTATCTCTACTGTAAATACTTCCTTGAATCTCATGTTGAGCTCCACACATACCTCTTGATCGTTTCTAGTGAGTTCCCCACCTTCTTTCCTCATCCTGATCACCTGGTCTTTGAGTGTTGTCTTCCTCTTAATGTGGCTATACAGTAGTTTAGGGTCAGACTTGACTTTCGATGCTATGTCGTTTACGTACTGTCGCTGAGCCTCCCTCAATATCTGTGCATACTCGTTTCTGGCTCTTTGACTAATCTCCTTATTTTCCTTTGTTCTTTGTCTTTTGTACTTTTTCCATTCTCTAGTGCACTTAGTTTTTGCCTCGCTATGTGTGTGTGTGTGTGTGTGTGTGTGTGCGTGTGTGTGTGTGTGTGTGTGTGTGCGTGTGTGTGTGTGTGCGTGTGTGTGTGGTGTGTGTGTGTGTGTGTGTGTGTGTGTTGTGTGTGTGTGAGTGTGTGTGTGTGTGTGTGTGTGTGTGTGTGTGTGTGTGTGTGTACTCACCTAGTTGTACTCATCTAGTTGAGGTTGCGGGGGTCGAGTCCGAGCTCTGGCCCCGCCTCTTCGCTGATCGCTACTAGGTCACTCTCCCTGAGCCGTGGAGCTTTATCATACCTCTGCTTAAAGCTATGTATGGATCCTGCCTCCACTACATCGCTTCCCAAAACTATTCCACTTACTGACTACTCTGTGGCTGAAGAAATACTTCCTAACATCCCTGTGATTCATCTGTGTCTTCAGCTTCCAACTGTGTCCCCTTATTACTGTGTCCAATCTCTGGAACATCCTGTCTTTGTCCACCTTGTCAATTCCTCTCAGTATTTTGTATGTCGTTATCATGTCCCCCCTATCTCTCCTGTCTCCAGTGTCGTCAGGTTGATTTCCCTTAACCTCTCCTCGTAGGACATTCCTCTTAGCTCATGGGACTAGTCTTGTTGCAAACCTTTGCACTTTCTCTAGTTTCTTCACGTGCTTGGCTAGGTGTGGGTTCCAAACTGGTGCCGCATACTCCAATATGGGCCTAACGTACACGGTGTA